AAGGATGCACAAAGGGGCATTGAGGCCCCGTTTCCGCGGCACGGGCGAGCGGCTGGCAGCCCCAAAGAAAGGGAGACTGCGGCGAGGCGAAGGCCACGCCCCAGCCTCACGGCGAGGGAGCCCGGCGCCTCTGCTTGGAAAGAGGCGAGCGTGAAAGAGGAGTGTGGCGGTCCCAGCTGCTGCAAAAGGGCTCTCTCCTTCCCGCCCCGAGTAAAAACGGAAAAGGGAGAGCATTGCGTTCATGGACGGCACGGTATTATGTGCGCCGGATCGCCTTGTGCGGGACGCTCCATAGACCCACCTTATCCCCACTCAGGTGACCACTAACAAAAGAGAAGTAGATACCAAACACGAAATGCTCCACTGAATAAAAACAGAGGATCACAACGCTACGGCAAAACACCTCCTTCTTTAAAGGCTTTCCCATGAGGATTTTTGAAACACAGTTTGGTACTGGATAAGAAGAGATCACATTCCTCCACCATCATATGGCATTTATCCCAATGCTGTCTGAATTTGCTATCTGCTATTGTTGACTGCAAATTACCTCCTGCCTCCAAAACTGACAGCATCTGGAGACTTTTAGAAAAGATAAAGAAAGAAAGTAGCATAAAACTATTTCACCTGCAAGACTTTTTTCTGCCAGAAGGGAAATGTTTTTATTCTTTAAATTGTTCTTTGAAATTCATTCAAGGCACTAGGTAGTGACCTTGTCTCTCGAGTGTTTTTCAGAAAGTAGCCTGGCTCTGTGGGACAAGCCTTGATGTCAGCTTTTCCAGACCTATAGCTTAGATAGATTCCAGAAGCATGAATCTAGCTCTCATAACAAAACTCAGGAACTAAGTAAAAGAGATTTTCTGTAACTTAGGAACAAACTGGCAATTTTCTACCTGGTCTAGCTATATGAAGCATGAATAGTTGTATTTTCTTCATATTTTTTCATTAGTTTTTGACTGCCATTCGCATTTCCTGTAGGCCCTTTCTGTATGACGTACTCTTTGAGCGTAGGGCAATGAATGCTTCTGGTGGATTTTTATTTTAATTTGTTACCCTTTGATTTTTCCTCATAAAGACCTAACCGCTCTCTCTTGCTAGGGACATAATCCTATTTCCTTTTAACACATAACACAGTTTTGGATGGTCCTGATAACCTAATAAGGGATATGGACTGGTGCATCTCTTTCTCTTTTAGCCTCAGCTCCCATCCACCTGCTTTGAAAGGCAGACAGGCACAGAAAGTGCCGATGGACATCTATGTCCTCCTGCAGCTGCCCAGTTTATGTCTGGCCTGCTTTTCTGATCTGTACTTCTGAGAGACTCTTTGACTAGTGCTCAGAAACCCAGGGACAGTAAGAAGGTCACTTGAAAGAACAGACCCCCAGTTGTTGTTCATAAGACTGGAAGGAAACAAGTCCCTTTTTTGTCCTAGTAAATAAATGCTGCATCTCCAAAATATGCATAGAATACCAGCCTTACTGGTACATCTCATACAAATCTAACGTCTGTGGTCAACCAGAGCCTCAATAATGAATGCGATGTACCCTTAGTCGCTAGCATTGTCATGGTACAGGGCACACAGAGTCAACGTTCTGCACAGATACCATCTATGACTCCAGTTCAGTTTGGGAACTGTGTTTTCTCAACACAGCTACGTTTTCAAGAAGTTAGCAATGTTCACCACCGGTGGGCAAACCATAGCAGTCATGGCCTCACAGAGCTTCATCACTGTCACCCAGGCAGTTGACGTGTGGGTACATGCAAACTGACCTAGTCACTCATCTGTTTCATCTGATAGGCACCATAGTCAAATCCTTCCTAAATGATTTCACCAATATCCTCCTGAACTGACAGGTCCCATGGACCGATACTGATAGGATGGAGTTAATCTCCTGTTTATGTAGACACTATCTGCAGAAGTCCTGGAGCCTCTGCTGATCCTCCTGGTGCAGATCCTGTGTGCGTACAGTCCTGGTAGAGCTCCCTTCCTCTCTACGCTCCCTGGGTCATGTTGCTTAGTACCAGCCTCATGGACTTTGTGTGATGCAAAACTCCTGAATTAACTTCACTGCTGGTGGCTGGACTCCTTAAGGGCACGTCCGTCTTACACCCTCTTCAACACAGTACTGCAACCTGGCCTTGGAAGGTAGCCACTTCAGAATTTTTCATAATTTAAGCCTTCACACTTACACTTATGGCTTAGTTCTACCAGGATTTCTGAACATACTTAGCTAACAGAAGTACACAGTCGTAAGCAAAACATATTCCATAACATTTCGCACCGTGCTTTGGGTGTAAAAGAGGGTGTGCTGAAACGTCCATGTTCCTTCCGCTGCTTAGACAGATTGCCTAAGTCGTCACACCAGGTTTTATGATGGTGAGATCCCAGCTTTCTGTGTTAGTGATGAATTGGAAGCGGGATAAATCAGCGCTAGGAAATGTTCCACTAGGAAATGTTCCATTATTGACACCTTTGTGGGGTGACAAGCCACCCCACCAAAAATGGTTTCCATTGCGTCTCATGGCCCATATTTGCTTGTGTGTCCTTATGTGAGAGCTGTGTTAATTTCAACAGCTAGTACAAGTCATCTTTTTGAGCTATGTAAAAGCTTCGCTGGCTGGAACAGGGAGAGCAGCGTGAAATACACTGACCTGGTGAGAATTTTAGTTTGCTGCAGTCTCTTTTACACTGTCAGCAGAGTCTGAAGGTTTTAACAGATTCTGTACCCGCCAGTAGAAGAGCTGGTGTGATGAACGATGTCACTGGAGATTCCTCTCTGGACACCCTGGGCCTCATTCTCTCTTTACACCACTTCAGCAGCATAACTTGGCACATTTCAGGTCTCTGTAAGGACTTGCTTGAAAGATGTAAATGAGCAGGTCACGGCTATGGCAAGACAACATGGTGTAATAGATAATTCTTGCTTCCAAAGGCCATCTAGGGTGCATGTGGCAATCCAGGGTGCTCTAACTTTCTGCCTTCAAACATAAAACACATTTGCTTCTTCTAGCTACCTTTCTCCAACCATTATATTCCCGCTTCACGTGCCCTTCAGCATTCAGAGAATGAAGCTCTCAGCCTCAGGCTGACTTTGTCTCCTCCTCTTACTTGTCAGCCTTTGAAAAATAATGCGCTTGTTGAGAAAGAAATGGGCTGCACAAAATGGCTGCTAAGCTTTTATCATAGAAAAGATTGACCAAGAGGCGCTCTCACGTGGATTCCTCATAATCAGTGTTGGGAACTGTTGAGATTCTTATCAGGATGGCCAGTTACTAAGGCCTTAATGCTTTGGTTATGGAAATGCAGTGAAATTGGTGCAGCTAACATTTGAAGTCAGACTTATTTCTGCTATGTACCTCTGTCGATCCAATACAGGAAGGGCACTTTTGCTACAACAATTCAGTTAAACCTGTCCTTTCACCATGCCTGTAATAGAATAGCCAGAAATAAAATACCAGAGTCTGTAGAGTTTGATCACTAGCTAAGCAGATTCTATAAGACTTTCATATAATTTAGTAATAACTCCTTTATTCAAATGCTTCTGTTGTTTAAATAAAACTAACTCAATTTTTCTTGTTTAACATCTGCTACTGATTAACAATGCCCATCACTGTAGGACTAAATAAGGAATCCTGGGACAAAGAAATGTGCTTCAAGCAAGGTTAAAATATAGTGCATTCAAGAGAATGGAACACGTTCTGTTTTTCTCTCCTTTTGTCTTTGTCAAGATACCACTTCAGACTTCTTTCTGCTATGCAGGATTTCAGAAAACCTTCTATGGTTGGACTTTTCAAAAAATTCAGAGTATGCTTCTTAAAGAAGGGGTAATTGATAGCTGTAGTGAGACATCAACATAGGATGCTACTGGGAGTTAGGAGCTCAGTTTCACTGTTACTTCGGCAACCATCCCTCATACAAAACCGAAGACAGAGCAACAAAAACTGTAAATTGTACAAATATCTGGAACTGCAGAGCATCCTATACCCATGTATGCAACAAAGAATAGAAGTGACACAAAAGCCTAACTGCCCTGATATCACTCAAAAGCATTTTAGGTATTAAATCCCATTGAAAACTTGAAAGTGATTCAGGTTCCTGCATTACTTGGGCACACTGGGAATTTTACCCATGCGACTTTTGATAATCTGACCTCTTAATAGTCTCACCGTATATTTAAATATTAATTTTAATAAATTAATTAATATAATTAATATATTAATTTTGAATTAAGCAACCCCAAAATAATTTGTTGTTGAAAACAGAAGAAATTTCCTCCATTTATGAGCAACTGACTAAGGCATTCTCAGCACAGTTTAACCTGTTTTGAATCTCTGCTGTGAATCTCAGTGCAGCTCTGATCTCAGTGTAATACAGAAATGGCCAGATTTTAGTTGCTATTGTTTCAGACGGGATGATGTTACTTTAGGGCTGAGTGTGATCTGATTTCATGGTGCTGCAGAAAAATCTAATGTC